GAAGTCATTTTATTTATACCTAAGCTTATTTTGAGGTTGTTTTAAATTCACTTCATATCAACCAGACTGATAAAGTGATTTCTAAGGTAGACCAAGCTAATTTTCTGATACTTGTAACAAAAGATGCATTTATGAGGTACAAAAAAAATTAACCGTACTTCAACTAACGAGAGTGAGGTATTTACGAGGTATAAAAAATATACCTATTTTCAACTAAAGAGAGTCAGGTATTTAATGAGGTGTATGAAGTCATTTTAGTTATACCTAAGCTTACTTTGAGGTTGTTTAAAGTGCACTTCATATTAACTAGCTCACTTCCCAGAGTTACGTGCAAGCCGGCAAATGGCGTGTGTGTTGACAATCGAAATTCTATTCGAAATTCGGTAAGAGTGTTTGACATTTATTAATTTAGTTTTATCTCTTTTAATCAAATATGTTTCGATTTTCGAACTTAAATTTTATTATTTTTGTTTTAAAGACACGTCCTGATCTTAAATAATTTAAGTCGGAGGATATTCTTTGAGGTTATTGTTGTAGGCTTAACAATAAGACAAAACAATCGGAATATTTTTCGTCGCTGTTTAGGGTAACGTTACTGGTGAATCGTTACAACAGGTAACGCATAATATATTTTATTGATTGTTATTTATTCAAACATAACTGTATTCTTATTTTTTCTTAAATGCATCGCTTTAACGTAGCAGTATGTAAGCTAATTAACTGATTTAAATTTTCATAATTTTTCGTAAAAATAAATCATTGAAATTTGAAAGATTTTAGAATAGCAATTTTGCTTTGAAATTCTACAACAAGGGTATGCTGATAGTTTGCTTGGATACATGAATGCAAAGTTTATATTGTTGTTTATGAGTGAAAATATGTGTAATAACACTGCATTTAAAATCTGATTAACACGCAATTTCTTTTTGTGAAACATTTTCTTTCCCAATGGCAGGCACTGAATTTTTGTGAAATATATATATTTACGGAGATTATCCACAGTTCCCTGATAATGCTGAGATGACCTAGGCTGTATATAGCATATGTGCAGCAGCGAAGAAGTGGCTAGTAGGCTACTGCTCAGCCTTCCCCTGGGAAATAGTTCTGAATTCATACCAAAAAGAAGAAGTAATCTCCCATAATAAACTGCAGAATTTATGTAATTGTTGATAACAATAGTTTGACAGATATTCGATAATTGAAAACTAGTAACTGCACTATCTCACTTTTTCATGTTTGATCACATAACTGCTATTTTTCACTACATGTTTTTTTTTCGCAATTTTCCCATGTTAATTATTTAATAAGCAGACTGTTATTACTTATTATAATATAAAGCAGAATTAAATAAAGCTCGATTTCAAGTTTATATGACAATTTGTTTCATGGTTATGAGCATTTTTATGCAGCAGTTTATGGTTCACTACTTCAAAAATTATCGAATTTCAGAAATCCTAAATTTTTTAGAAATATGTCAGTATAGTTTGTTATGCAATTTAAATGCTGAATTGAATAAAAATCAATTGCAAGTAAAAACATTTATTATTTGACGGCATTTTTTAAAAAAATATTTAAACAAATGTTTGTAACAACTAACTATTAATTTTATTCTGCTCGGTCTCATATTTTATATAGGAGGTATTTTACTTCACTTCTTTTAAAAGTATTATTTCAAATCATTCTCTCTTAGACATTTTCCTCACATAAAATTGCTCACAACTTTAAAATAAATTATACTTATCAGCTTTTGATTAGTTTTATTCGATTGAGTGAAGAAAAAAAATGGATAAAAAATGGTGCATAACTTTAAAATTTTAATTTATTAAACGATTGTTGATTCTTGATTACATTGATTAAAAAAATATCACTATAACTATTTAAGAAACTCTTATGTGATTGACAATAACGGATGTCTTTTTAGAATCAGCATCAGAAATTTATAAAAAAGCTTTTAGTTTCATGAAGTCTGACAAAAAGTTTAAAAACATAGACTAGGTTTATTGAGTTTAAAGATTCGTAAGAAAAAAAGAAAGAAAATCTAATTATCAAACTTACAAGTACCATAATGATACCAGATGTATAGGAAAATAAAAGGTGTTAAAATTTCATAATAAGATTAGAATTATATGTTTGAATTTCTGTAAATGTTGTTAATGGTAGCACTTTCTTCAGTGTATTTTATTTTGTGGCTGTGGTACCTGTCATTCTTTTTAGCTACAAGAATTGAATAGAAATGGCAGAAGATGAATGCTATTTATCTGAAAAAGAAAATTAATTTCATCCAGTTAATTTAAACCATGAAAAAAACAACAATTTCTAATATTTTAATATTTTAAAACCTGCCACTATTACTGTAAACATGACTTTCTTACTAATTCATATTTTTTTTCTTTTAGGTTCCAATCCTTCCAAGTTTCAACTGGTAGACAGAAACAGTATTTAAAATAATTTTGTTGGCTTGTAAAAAAGCTAAAATTTTTGTTTTAAATAAAAGTAATTTGAATTTCAACTGACTAATTATCTAAATTTGCAGTTTTATAGCTTTAAAAATTCAAGCACCTTAGACAACTAAATATGAGTTCCCATAAATAATTTTTCCTAACTGTAGAATTTGGATAAGCGTTATTTCAAGATGATTTAATTCAATCTATTAAAATTACAGAAGAATAATGCATTTGAAACTTTCTTTTATGACTGAACAAAAGAAACAATTACTGCCGAAGGCTTAATATTAAAAACTTCAGGTTGATAAATGAAGATCTCTACTAGTGAAAAAATTTAATGATATACATTATTCTTCATATAATATATATATAATATCTTCATATGTAGTATATTTTTTATGTAGTGAGGTTAAGCATTAATAAACTAGGTGGACCGTATAACACCTCACGTTTAGTAATCATAACCTTACTAAACATTATTACCTTACTAAACTATTACCTTATTACCTAAATACGAAAATCAAACAGCTTTAGGTTGAGCTTCATAAGCCAGAAGTGCAAAATGTCGCATCTTTTTTTGATAAATATACCTGACTTCTAAAAATGCAAAAATATACCTGAGGTTGAAAAATAGCAACCTAAGTTAGAACATCGAACACCTCACGTTCACAAAAATCAAGCTATCAACTGTCGAAAAATACACTTGAGGTTGATTTATAACAACCTGAAGTGCAAAATGGCCAACCATAGCTTGATAACTAAATACTTCTACAAGCATAAAAATCTATACTCGAGGTTGAAAAATAATTACCTGAGGTCAAACATAATACACCTCACGTTACTAAAATAATACCTTTCCAACTGTTAAAAAATATACCTAAGGTAGATTTATAATAACCTGAAGTGTAAGATAACACACCATAGGTTGAAAACTATATACCTCTACAAGCATAAAATTAGATACCTGAGGTTGAAAAATAATTACCTGAGATAGAACGTAATACACTTCACGTTAGTAAAATATTACTTTTTCAACTGTTAAAAGATACACCTGAGGTAGATTTATAATAACCTGAAGTGTTAAATGAAACACGTTAGGTTGTTGAATAAATACGTCCACAAGTGTAAAAAATGTACTTCAGGTTGATTATTAATTACCTAAGGTTGAAAATGAAATACCTTAAAGTAGTAAATATCTACCTCTCCACAGATGTAAAATTAAACACCTCAGATTCAAACATATATACCCCTGGAGGTATATTTAAGGTATATTTAAGGTTGATTTTGAGGTTGATTTTGCACCCTTTTCAACCTAACGAAGTATATAAATAACAACCTCCTTTATACCTTTAAAATATACCTCGTTCTAATTAGTATAAAAACAAAGTAAACAGTTGTAGTATTTTGAGCTGCAGTATTATGCATTTAATTTTCACAAATCAAACAAATGCAAAGCAATAAAATAAATAAATAAATAATTTATTTGTTGAAGTATAAATAATTCGATGAAAAAGGGTGAACTGAATTAATATGATCAGTAAGACGTTTCGCACTGAATAAATTTAATAAAGCAAGATTTTCTTAACACTAATCATGCCAACACCTTACAATACAATACAAAATAGCACAATAGTTGTTCTGTATTGTGTTGTACTGTAGTATACTGTACTGTATTGCCATCCAGTTGAATATATTTGGCAACATAAGAGTCTCTTTTCTAAGTGTGCTGCCTGTTGCTATTTATATTTCTTTTTCGAACTGTACATAGTTTTTAATTTATGTTAATCAGGATTGTTCCTGGGGATCAACCTGCGTTAAGCCGAGAGGGAAGCAAGTTTCCGAGATATATAGCATCGCCTGCTCAGGCAATTTTTTTCTCACAAACCCTCCGTCAGATAATGTGTAAAAACTCTCACTTAAGCTGGTACACAGTTGGAGATTGTATGTAGGTATATAAGACAGTCAGAAATTTTTTTTCATTATTTAACTTATTTTCATTGCCTAAAGTAGTTACGCCAAAATGTTATCTTACAGCTGCATGACTCAGCATTATTGTAGATGTAACTGGAAAGTTCTAGTGAAATTTTCTGTCTAAGTCAACTGGTGGGAATTCACGATCTTCGAACATCATTAATCGCAATGGAATAATATTTTTAAAAAAAGGCCTTTTCCTTGTCCCAATCAAGTCAAGGTCCATCTTACGTTCCTCATCTAGAAGTGAAAAATCCTGTTATAGCTTCCTTCTTACGTTTTGAGATTAATATTCAGTTATAATTTTGGGTAAATTACTTCTTTTTTTTAAATTCATCATTTCAACTCTATTTACGTCATTACTTCAGCTCCTTTTTCTAACAGTAGGCCATATGAAAGAGTTCTTTGTGAACTGAAACAGTTTAATAGATTGTATCTAGACTGTCTTTTTTCCCCATCCTCTTTTCATCGCGAGTTGATATCAAGGTTAAAATAATGTATACAAAAAAAACCTGCATATCAGTGACTTCATTTAATAAATATGATTTAAATAAACTTTGCCTTATCACTGCTGATGAATAATTCAAAAGCATAAATTGAATGCTACTTTGCTTCATTAAATATAGTGTTACACCACAGTGAGTAGATAATTAACATGCGATAAGATAATTTTGTTTCCAGACAGAAAAAGACAAGACTTTATTTGGTTTCTGTTAAATAAGGGTGAGAAAAAATATCTATAAGATAAATCTCGATTCGCGGGGCAACAAGTTAAAATTTTGTAAACATCATTTGCATTTATTGCTCGTTTGTATTTGTCTGCAACAAATATGTCTGACAATACCGTGCAGTATGTTGATGGCATTCCGATCCCTGCTATGTTTCCAGCTGATAAATTCCGTTCCGCACTTGCATACAAACCAAATTCAAACGATCTTTTCCTCGTGACTTATCCTAAGTGTGGAACAACATGGACAGGACAAATACTTCTACTTCTATTCCAGAAAGGAGAACAACTGAAAGACATGGATTTAGAAAAGTCACCCTTTTTAGAAATGGCAGGTAACTGACTTTTTATTATAACGTAATCCAAAATACAAATGCATATATACCAACTCTACAAATATGTATATGCCTATGCCAAAATAAGTTTCATCTATTATTATAGTAAATATATATATATATATATATATTTTTTTTTTTTTAAATTTTTTTTTAGAATTACTTTATAGCAGCTGAAATGTACTGAATAAAACACTATATCTGATGTTTATATAGGTCATTCTCCTACTGCTGAAGCCATACGAAAAGCTAGTCTAAAACCTATGACTCAGTACCAGCCTCTGGGAGGATTCAAGCAGAAACTTTTATATTTGGCTGAGGTTTTAGGTTTTGCAGTGCACTTTACAGATTTCCCTAAAGTAAGTTCATTTAAAAGTCTCATAAATTTTGTTTTTAAATAATTTAGTGACATGAAAAAATAATCTAGCATTCCCAATTTTTTTTTTGGCCACAGTACACTAAATTATCAACC